AAGGATAAGGAGGGTCCTGAAGTGTACGGAATGTTGAAGGGAGGAATAGGGTTCAAGGACTACCTACATGGACCAATGGATGCAGGAACAAAGCTTAAGGTCAAGTTCAGGACCGGGGACATATCCTTCGAGAACGTCGACGAAGATATAGGACGGTAGACAACGAAGACGACAAGTTCAAATGTGATTGCGGCTTCGAATGCGAAGATCGTGTTCATGTAGTCGCGGAATGTCCGTTGTACAAGAAGGAGAGGGAAGTGTACGTGACTGAGCTGGGAAAAATAGATGGAACGTACAGGGAGATGTTTNGTCAAGTTCAGGACCGGGGACATATCCTTCGAGAACGTCGACGAAGATATAGGACGGTAGACAACGAAGACGACAAGTTCAAATGTGATTGCGGCTTCGAATGCGAAGATCGTGTTCATGTAGTCGCGGAATGTCCGTTGTACAAGAAGGAGATGGAAGTGTCCGTGACTGAGCTGGGAAATTTAGATGGGACGTACAGGGAAATGTTTGAGGCATGGAATAGAGAGGAAAGGACGGTAGCTGTACTGGGGCATAGGAGGTGGGTTGAAAAGGCGGGAAGGGATATCGTTAAGATAGACAGACTAGGGAAGACATTTTTGAGCCACCTTTGGCAAAGCAGAAAGGAACGATTGGCCATCGGTGATCGGTCCTGTGGGAACAATGCTCCGTCCTCTCGAGGACGCGTGGTCAATGGTCTAACCGCTGAGGCATGCAAAACATAAGAGTACGCCCCCGCCCCCCTCCCCCCCCTCCCACGAAGCCAATGTGCGCATGGACTTTCCCAGAAACCCGCGTAGCCATGGGACAAATGGGACAAAACTACACAATCCGACGCGTGATTCCATCTCGTGTGCGTACTATACCTCCCCATCATCCACTAGGTGGTTGCTGCTTGCGGGAGAAACAGAAGGCGTTCTCGGCGGGGACGGGGCTTGCGTGCCTGAGATCTCGCTCGAAAGCCTTCCATCCATCGAGGGGTCCTTGGGGGGCTCCAGAGGAACGGACGTGACTGGCGGGATGGCTTCCAAGGTGCAGACAGCAGGATTTCCCTTACGCGCTGGGGTGCCGGTAGTGATAACGTATTTGGAGGTATCCATGTGGTCATTCGTGCGTTGCAGACTGCAGTGCCGCTGGTGTAAGAAACAAGTATTGTGAACACAACGATTGAGCTCAGGCTGTCGCCAAGCAGTCGTACAGGGTGGTTCCGGCGGCTGAGCCCATTTTCGTTTCACCTTTTTCATTATCCCTTCAACAAGATGGGGTCTCGATTTTTTGTGAGGGATCCTCTTGTGAGCAGGACGGCACTGTTCCATGGTTATTTGGCGTTGTCAGGCGGTACCACGTCAAGATAGAATTGACGGAGTCGCTACGCATCGGCATCAGACATTCAGCTCTATGCGCGACTAGCCTGTGCTTCTTGAGTTCATGCATGGCATCGCCGCCCCGCCGAGCAGGTGCGGGACATGATCTCGCTCGTGGAAAGCCTGCCTGGCGCAAGAATTAGAATCTTCTCCGGCCTTAGCCCGGGCGGCGTAAAGCGAACATTGCTGCTGGCGGCCGGGAGGGACGGGCAAGAACCAACGCAAGGCGGTAGCGGGAATAGTAGCGGAGGCAGCGGTGGGCCAACGACAGGGGGCCTCGGGACAGTAATCGTGGCGTCTGCCGCCACTGCCGCCGCTGTTGCACCGACGGTATCCACAGCGGTTGTTGGCGAAGCGGGCGGGGGTGTCTCGAAGATGATAGCTAGGGGACGTAGATAGTCATGCGAGCGTATGCACCCGCCACTCAATAGATAATAGCTGGGGGACGTGCATGGCCATGCGAGCGAACGCACCCGCCACATCGGGGTGTCATCGGAGTGTGGCACATGGGCGCCGCATTAGAGAAAGGGAGGGACGAAGAACTGCTCGATTCGAACTCCGCACCGTCAACGGCATCGGAACTGTCGCCCGCGGGTGCGCGAAAGGGCCCCAGAGCAAGATGACCACAGAGACGAATTCACACGCCGATTCGTTGGCTCGCATGCATCATCAGGGGAGCTGTCGGGGATGCAGCCACGCGTGTTGTTGTGCATCGCCAGGGATTTCGTAGGCTCTTCCTCTCATCGGTCCCACGCGAACAAGCTCTCATAAACCACATCGTCATGGGCGCCCCGGAACCGTTCCTCAAACCGCTACGACGTTTCCGACTCGAACGAGTCGCCGGACAAGATCGTGACACACCTTACTCCTGCTTCGCCCATCATTCGATAAATAGCCCCAATCGCACGCGGAGGGAATCCACAATCACAACACGGCGGCGCACCGACGCGCTCACTTGCAAGCGCATACTCCGACTTTCCCAGGATCGATGCTGCCGTTCCAGTTAGACATAACAGTATGGACGGACGTTTGGTCGTATTCACATCAAACACACAAGAATCTGTGCCCTCGCTCCTCCTCCTTTCCCGATAACGACCTCCTAGACCACACTACACCCCCTGTGTCCCTCAGTCTCGACAAAAACAGACTGCAAGATGGCGTCTTCACCCAAACGAAGACACCGCCTCCCTTGGCGCCGCTCCTTCCCGGCTGACGCCGACCCCACCTCCTCCAACACTGGGCCCAGTGAGCGCGCCATCAACCCCGCCGTCGCCGCCACTCGGCGCTACTCCGACGACACCAGCCACCGTGAAACCCGCCACCGCAGGATTAGAGCCACCGCCGCCGCCGCCGTTCTTCCCGGCGGCAGCGGAGAGGTACCCCAGCACCGCAAGACGGTCTCCCTTCAGCCGCTTGTCCAGGAGGATGGAGGCCTCCGCTGGCCCCATCCGTCGAACGCCGACGTTCTCAAGCATGTCACGCATCTGTCTCGCGGGAAGGGGGAGGGGGTCCCGTGGAGGTGCGAAGTGGACGTTAGCATGCCACCTCCACGATATGGTGGAGTGTTCGATTGCTGCTGCGGGTGTATGCATGCAGTTACCTGACTGGGATCAAAGAGGTTGGAAACTATCAAACGTGGGCGGGCAACGTGGCAGCCGAAGTCATGCCTAGAACCGACCCTGTTGCGTCCGGGGCATGATTGCAGCACAGACGGATACAATTACCTGCCTCGAATGCTTCGTGTTTCGCGACACCCATTACACCGTCAAAGTTGCTGTCGCTACATACCGACAAACGCACTCCCTACTCGTGCCATTATCGAGGTTGGGACATCCCATCTCATCTCGGAAGGTATATTTTGATCATTCGTTGTTGCATATAAGATATGGGGTTTAGAGGGACAGAGTACGCTGCGAAAAAGTGTCGGAGAAGAGTGGTGTTCGTTGAAGAGTCCGAACTACGTGGACAGTTCGACGACAAGCGGTAAAACATGCAACCAGAAACACCGGAGCAGGGAAGCAACCGTCCGAGCCAAGCACACAAAAAAGCGGCACGGTGTGTGTGTGATAGATGACACAAAAACAAACTACCGCGAGCCTTACAAGTAGACACACCCTACTTTTCGCACACAAGTACTCTACTACCAGAGAAGGGCTAGGAACGCTGTCTGTGCGTTTGCCATTAATGCCCATATGTCCGTTTCCTTTTCCTTCTGTCGGTACTTTCTCACGTCCCCTACGACACGCCCCGCCCGGACCTGTGTGCCTTCCGGCGATAGAGCGCCGCCCTCTTCGCGCCAGCCGTCCCAACCGCCCCCCCTCACGGCCTCCTCCACACTCCCACCGTGGGCATCCAGGCCCGAAGACAGCGACCGCAGCTGGGACTGGCGATAACGAAACAAAAAACGAAAACACAACAGGTTGCCAATGAGGGGAGCGGCTTCGTGGATGGGACGAGGGTCTCGGTCGTGGATTCATGTTTGTCCTCTTGTCCCGACCTAACACTGTAGTGGCGTTCTTCATCCTGGCCATGGTCAAGCTGTTTCTGTTCACTAACGCTGTTCGTCTACAAATGTGATGGTCAGGCTAACACTAACGCTCTCCGAAGGAGGTGATTGATCTTCGAGGCCTCAGCCGTCGTGGAATCAACAAGATGGTACAGACGTTGGAACCTCCCCCCTCGCGTCGAGTCAAAAGTTGCATGGCATAACGTCGTAACAAGCCTACCTCACTCTGGAGGCAGGGTCGGTTTCTTACGGTCGATTTGTGGCGAGGAAATGCCGAGTATTGCCCGAGCGGACTCAAGTCAATCCAAAGTCGTGGTTCGGTGTGAGCAACGCTTTCTCGCGACCATTTAGCCTTCACTATCCACATCAAGCACCCGCCGCCGGTCGCGCCAGTGGTAAATCAACTGAGCAAAGAAACATCCATCGACAGCGTCCCGTGTCATAACCATGCCCTTGTGTGCGTGGGTGCGTCGATCCTTCGATACGTGCATCCTGGTTTACACACCAAATTCAGATAAATAATCGAAAACCCGCCATCATCTGTACCTTTTCCAGCGACAGCAGCACCGCCGCCTCGGCTAGCGCCGGGAAGTGCCTCTCCGGCCGGCGACGCGCGAGAGAGTCGAACGGACCCATGAGCACCTTCAGGTCCGCCAACAGCTGCAGCCCCTGCACGCCATCGACAAGAAAAAATGGTCATCTTGAGACCACGTTCTCGTCGTCATCATCGGCGCGATCTACGGTCCGACTATCTGCAGAAGCAGTCCTGCGGGAGGGAATCACACTACATACTCCGTCGTCGGTACGTACGTGTGTACCAACTTCATGCGCCTCGACATAGTCATCGTCATCATCATTACCGAGAAGCTTTGGACCGAGAAGCTTTGGACCGGTGACAAACAAGTGATGCTTCTATGTAAAAAGGCTACACAAGACGACTCGAGGAGGCACTACTGTAGTACACGATGCACGATGCATGCATGCCGCGAGCAGCAAGGAACGGACGGTGGGTGTCCCGTCGCGCACTCCTCCTCCTCAAAAACCCGTGTTGGTTGGTTGTCATGTTCCCGCTCCCCTACGTGGCGGGGGTACAGTCGTCCCCGCTTTCAAGACACCATTTTTAAAGACACTCCCCGCTGTAAGGACACAAAAAAATCCAGAAACATGGTGCCCCGCAGATAGATGTGAAAATGTAGGGGGGGGGTAGAGTTTTCCACCATTCGACCCCCCCAAGAAAATGTGCTGCAGCACCTGTAGATCCTGGATCATCAACATAGCGGTCTGCTGCAGCCGCACACTGCGTGTGGGTGTATGGATGGAAAGATTCATTCCATCTGCTAGCGTACCTTCAAGTACCTCAGCGAAACGGCGTACCTTCTTTCGAAGACTGCATTCGTTTACTCATGAAACTCAGGTCAAGCGAAGAGCAAAGGAGGGGGGGGAGGTGCAGGCGACTCTTCGGGATATGTGGCGGGTGTAGTTTTTGGTTTCGAGAGCAAAGCACTTTTATTGCCAACGTTCGTTGTTTGCCTTGGGTGAAGTCTCGTGAGGTTAAAATTGACGTTTGTGTTGTGTTGTGCCTCGTTTTGACCTTTTGGGAGGCGCGGTGTCCTCTTTGTCGCTGTGCTTTCCCGACATTTTTGGTCTGCGTTTCTGCGTAACCTACATTTTCCTAGTGTCGTTTTACAACCTTCGATATTTCTCAGGTGCGGTAGCGAGATCTTGGGCAAGATATTCACGGGGAGGACAACGCCTAAAAAATAGAATAAAGCAAATAATCAAGCCCGTATCAACACCAGCGCACTACCGTCGTGTACATGTACGATGCGTAGGTTGTAGAACACCATCGCTTTCAGCGTTTTGGTGGTACAGTACGGGGAAATTCAAGCGATGGTCTGCAAGTATGTATTGCAGCACAATAATAGCAGCAGTGGTTGCGACCTTCAAATCACCTTGTGTCGTAGGTTTCAAACAACACCTCTTGTGGTCGCCTTTCTGCTGCGAATGCGCACCTTTTGACTTGTGTTTCGCCTTCATTGGCCCCGAGGATGGTTCGTTAGTGGCCCCGGAATTTTAAAGACACTTCCCCGCGTGAAAGACACATTTTTTTTTGGGAAAACGNAGAGAACAATGTGTTCGTGTTTTGTCGTACTCGGAGTAGGCACTGCGAGCAAGATAAGACGGCCACCTTTGGCTCTCATCCTCCCCGTACCACATACTCTTGTGACATACCACCTGGTACTTGGTAAGACCGTGACCCGGGCAAACAACAAACGCCTCCATCTACAACAACACCAACACCTTCATGTACATACGGTGTACATGTACATGTGCTACACATATGAAAAGCTGGTGCTACACATGGTGCTGCTGTACTTGTATCTTACCTCGTCCTGGGTCATCTCCACCCTGCGGGCGACAATCTGCTTTACTAGCGTCAGGTCCAGCCCGCTCGCCAGCGCCGTCCAGAACTGCTGGAACTGGCCCTGTGCCCGTTAAAAAAGAACGAAGACGAAGAGGAACAAGAACAGAAAGAAGAAGAAGCGCAGGAGGAGGAGGAAGACGGGGACTTGAATAGAAGAGTAACATAAATCACCACCCGTTGTTTTACTACCAAAGGTCCTCGCACCCTCCTACATAGTAAATATTTACGAGAGTCGTGTATCTGTTTCCGCAGGCATCTGTTGAACACTCTTTGCTGGACAGGACGATGGGCCTTTTCCCGTCGCCCACGCAGAGACCAAAAAGGGGACACATTGAGACTGCTGTTGAACTCGTCTGGCCTTTTGACCTCTCGTGTCTAGCGTCGCTCTACAACTCGTCGCCTCACCGATATGTTTAGCGCTCAAGCGCAAAAAAAAATCAACCATGCATTGCTATCGCCGTATTTGTGCGAGTGATCGCAAACCCTCCCAAGGGCGCCTTTCATCGCTCGATAACTCCGCAACTAGGAGGTTTTAAATGCCGAACAGGATGCTTTCGGACGATCTCGTCAAGAGACGTCCACCCAAATAACTCAGGGGAAGAAGCCGCCACGAAAGTGACCAATTCCAGACGGACAGACAGACAGACAGACAGACAGACAGACAGACAAGACAGGCAAGTCCAACGAATGGCACCTCCGCTCGGTGTGGACGATTTTCTTGCCCGTCATGAACTGCCTTTTCGCGCGAGACTTCCAACACCTCGCATCGTAACAGAGGCAAAAGACTACGTACTCGTTGTACAAACTGCTCCATGGCCTGTGGCCGGTCTTCCCCTCACCAAACCAAGTCACGTCACCACGACCACACTTTCGGCCAGAAAAAATATTCCACCCGCCAAGTCGGCGATAGGACGGGATCGGCAAATGTAGACCGCGTCAGGCCAACCAAGTCTCGCTACATAAATAGTAGTCGCAAGCTAGACTGATTGACTCACCGGGGGAAGACACCCTTCCGCCACTCCCAAGGCTGTCTCGAGCAGCTGCACCCCCTCGCAAAGACGCCCCGAGGGTTCGGCTGCGAAAGACGAAGCCGATGACGACGATGAACCACCGGGCAGGGGTGAAGAAGCCGCCGCCGAGGAGGCGTGCACGACGACGGCGATACCCCTGTCCCACGCCCGCAAGTACGACCTCGTGCGCCACAGGAAACCATCGAGGCAGGACTGGTGGTGGCCGGGGGCGGGGGTGGTCAGAAGGACGATTGCGACGCAACTGCTGCGCCCTCTGCTCTTTGGAGACGATGACCATCATCATGAGTACCGAACTAGAAAGCATTGCTGTTGTCTCCCATCGTTGCCTACCTCCCAACCGCAGACATTCACTTTCTCACAATCGCTCGTCTCTCTACTTCTCCGCGCGAGCGGAAACACGAATCACGCCCCCTGAGTCACCTTTGGCAAAGTAGGAAGGAACGATTGGCCATGATCGGTCCTGTGGAATCAATGCTCCGTCCTCTTGACGACGCGTGATCAACGGTCTAATCGCTGAGGCATGCAAAACATAAGAGTACGCCTCCCCCCCCCCCCCCCCCCCCCCCCCCCCCCCCCCCCCCCCCCCCCCCCCCCCCCCCCCCCCCCCCCCCCCNTACGAGGCACACCCCACGACGCACCTCGACCGCGCTCCTCAGCATCGCCTCGAGCATGACCTCGTACCGCCTAGCCTCCTCGCCGAAGACGGACCCCTCGAACTCTCCCCCGACCACCGTAGCCGCGGCGGCTGGGGGAGCCTCTCCCATTTCCCTCGCCGCCGTGGAATTGCCACCATAACCGCCGCCTCCGCCTTCCACCTCACCAGCAACGCCTTCACTTCTCCCGTCATCTCCGTTGCCCCCATCCTCCTCCTCCTCCACCCCCTCCCCTACCATCATCACCGCGGCTGCCGTCCCAGCCCCATTATTGCGGTTTCCGGACGCGCCTTTTCGGACGCGGCGGGCGGCGCCCTTGAGCGACGTCAGCGCGGCAGATATGGCGTGTGTGGGACCGATGATCGAACCTTGCACCCCGACGGCACGCGCGACACCCGCAGTGGCTGGAGGGGGTACGGTTTGAATTGGGGGCGTAGGTAGCGGGGGGGGGTGTACTCATAGTCGTGCATGCCGTAGTCGTTAGACCATTGACCTCGCATCCCTACAAAGCCGGGACGGAGCACGCCGGGTTCTCACCGGACCAGGCTCTCACATCACCAAGCGCGAAGCGCCGTGAGATATTCGGCGAGTCGCATGAAGGGTGCGCTGCATCCTGCTAAGGGTTTTCGGCATCTTGTGCTTACTTCCTTGCGTACGGATGACAGCTGCGTATGACTTAATTTATTTTCTGGTGCTTTCACTTCCAGAGACAGTTGTAAGCACTGTGTAACTGCCTCGAGGGTGCTTGACCATTTTAACACAACGTGGTGCGATCATCCCCCTTGCGCGGAGTGAGGGTTCTCCACCCCGCAGAACATGAGCTACTCGACCACCGTTCATGGTTACCGCAAACAAAAAAAAACGGTAACCTGGTTGCCGAGTTCACGAAGTGAATTGGCTTGTTTTACAACGTCGTTGGCAAGCGACGAAAACCCAATCCCGATGGCAAATTTCCGGAAGATTTATTCTCGAGGGTTTGGGTTGGGTTGATGGGTGTGGCTACTGCTGTTGAAAACAGTTGCGGTGCCGATCGACATGACGAGGACCTCATCAAGCGCTCTGTGGCACGGTTGGCTGCACGAAATCACGCCATGAACTGACCCTTACAAATGAAAAGTCACCGATTCCGTCGCACCACTGTGTGTGTGTGCGTCGTCAGGATACACAGCCTGTGCAGAGAGACTGCCAAAAACCAGACGAAAGAAACAGTGTCGGGGTACTTCATTCAAGCAGCGAAAGTCTGCATGCACATGCGTGAAAGTCAGCGAGAGGGAGAGAGAGAAGAGAAGAGAGAGAGAAAGAGGGAGAGACAGGGGCAGAGAGGGACAGAGAGACCGAGAGAGAAAGAAAGGGCGACCAACCTGTCTCTGCCGTTGTCGCCAGTTCGGTGACGGCGTGGGACACGCCTCCTACCGCCGCGCCGACGACGTTCCCCACAGACCCCAAGGACGAGGAAGGCCTTGCCGCTCGCCCTTCACCGGACACCTAAAAAAAAAAAAAGTCAAACAAACAAAACAAGCACATCAGTAACACACATGATACGCGAGACAAAAAAGAAACTTGCATCATCGCGAAGGTTTCGCCGACCCCTGCACCCCGCGGAGCAGCGTTTTTACACGGGGTGAGGGGAAGTGAATCAACACACGGCATGCGCGACGCACCTCCCTCGCCGCGGCCCAGGCAGCCGCCGTCGCCTCGGCCATGTCGGCGAAGAGCATGTCGTCCTCAGACTCGCGAAGGACGGCGCAGACGTAGGCGCACGACGCCAGGACCAGGCAGTAGCCCCTCCAGCGGCCGATGGGCGACTGCTCGCGCACCGAGCAGATCGCACAAAAACAGCACCCGCCGAGAAGAAGGGAGGGGATGATGATCCCAAGCGCCGGCGCCCCGGTGTGTTTGTGTTTTGAGTGTGGTGTTCACTTTGGGTTCGTGATGGGTGCTTGTGTTGGGGCACCGTCGCGATCGAGCGACAAGATTTCGGGCTACAGCAGTAGTTGATGGGTGTGTAGACTACGGTATGTAGTCCATATGCAGTGGGCGGTCCTCACTAACGGTACCCTCAATAGCGGAATGCCCTCCATAGCGGCACCGAAATCGCTTGGCAAAAATGCATTGCTCAGTACATCCCTATTAGACATAGCGGCACTGCCCTCTATAGCGGCACCAAAACCTCTTGTTATTACCCACCGCTTTTGAGTACCACCGACTGTACCCAGAAATAAGACTTCTGACAAAACAGATTGAACGCGCGTGAACGCGACAGCCAGCAAGAGCGGTAGAAAGAGAACAGTGGCAACTGCCGTCGCTCCTCCTGCCGTTTGTAACACCGGCCCGATCATTCAGACTCATGAATCCCCCACCCTACAGGCCACCGCACACAACAGTCTGCTAAGTACGGAAAGATTCAAGTCCATCGCCACTAAAAAACATATATACTTAACAATGGCACTCATGTCTTGCCTACATCATCGACTACTCATCGGACGAGAGGTGAATACAGCATCTCCCACCGCCGATGGAAAACCGGAAACAGCACGCCCACGCAAGTACCAAGTACTGGAAGCGTTAACGCGCACCTAAGGTCATCATCCCACCTACTTGCCTAGTACACCGATTTTCGTGTGTGTGTCCTCCCCCCTTCCTTTCGTACCTTATCCCCTCCGTCCTCTTGCCCAGGGCCCACCATCGCCGCCTCCAAGGCGGCCGCCCAGGTTGCTGTTAGCCCGTCGGCCGCCGAGGTTACCCCCCCCCCCCCCCCCCCCCCCCCCCCCCCCCCCCCCCCCCCCCCCCCCCCCCCCCCCCCCCCCNATTTTCGTGTGTGTGTCCTCCCCCCTTCCTTTCGTACCTTATCCCCTCCGTCCTCTTGCCCAGGGCCCACCATCGCCGCCTCCAAGGCGGCCGCCCAGGTTGCTGTTAGCCCGTCGGCCGCCGAGGTTCCCCCCCCCGCCCCCCCCCCGGCCCCCGATGCCTCTTGAGTGTCATCACTCCCTCCGGAGTCTCGGAAGACCGAGTCGAGTCGGCAATCGTTGCCCCTCCGGTACAGCATGTCGCGGTACTGTCGTCAAGTTTTCGTGGTGGATCGATCGTTCTCGGTCAAGTGTGGGGTGATGTGAAGCATATCGATCTTAGGATTGGCGGGGTCGTGTGGTGATCCTCTTGATGGATTGTTGAAAATTTTGCCTCGTGTTGAGACAGGATTGCCGTCGTTTTGGGCTTGTTGGCGAATGTTGTCCGTTGGCTCCTTTGAATGGGCCGTCGTTTTGTGCCTGATGGTACCGGCCCCCGTCGTTTCTTCCTACGGTTCCACGCAAGGAAACACCTTGACCCTAAGCACGCAATATGCTCGCTTGCGGAGGAGGAAAGCAAGGCAGGAAAGAGCTTCGGCATACGTGACGGAAAGACATGGGTCTGGACCTCGTGCAGCAAGTGAACCAAGAGGCGGCTAGTTGCAGCCCCTCTGCTATCAAACGGCGGCAAGTTGATAATCGAGGACATAGCGGCAACGAAACACCAACCCCCCCCCCCACCTCCAAATACGGGATCAAGGGGAAAATGTGGAGAGTGCTGAAGAAGATGACAGAGTGTACGAAAAGCGCGGTCATGCTAGACGGAGAACTGTCAAAATTCTTCGACATTGAGCAGGGGGTCCCACAAGGTTGCACGCTGTCCCCAACATTGTTCCAGGTGTTCATCAACGATCTGTTGGAAGTCGTAGAGGCAGTCCGGAAGGGAGTAAAAGTAGGGGACACGGAA